TGTGCAGACAACGTTCACCCTCATTTAGGAGGTGAATAAATTAATTAATTAGTGCATCATTGAAAGCCTGCAATGCAACGTTGCAGCATCCTCTGCGCTATTTTGAAAGCCTGCCACTGAAAACACTTGCTGGAAATGTCGACCTGGAAGAGCAGCCAGCATGTTACGTACGACGATGGCGAGGACCTGGCACTACTCACTAACCTTTCACGTCTCATCACCTCTCCTTATGTTACATCATACTGGCCGACCACACAAATCAGCATGAACACGAACCAACATGAACCAACATGAACTTGAACCTACGTGAACATGAACCAGCATAAACATGAACCAACGTGAACATGAACCAACATGAACACGAACCAACTCGAACCAACATGAACACGAACCAACTCGAACCAACATGAACACGAACCAACGTGAACATGAACCAACATGAACCAACATAAACTTGAGCATGAACACAAACAGGCAGCATTGCACGGCAGTCAACATGAACACTAGATCACACTGTAGCAGCAGTCTGCAGATCACATAAAAGATGGAAAAGATGATTTTTAATGTTTAATCATTTCGCATGGAAAATTATTCATCATGTATCTTCTTTAAGCCAAAATTCTTCCTCACCGATCACATCAACTTGCTTGCATATTAGGAATATATGCATGTGCAAACAAGCGCATTTGTCGTCTGTTTGTAAGAAAACTGTGTGTGTGTATGTGTGTGTGTGTGTGTGTGTGTGTGTGCGACAAACGTTCGTGCGTTTGCAACAAATGTTTGTCTGTTAATAATAAAGGTTCGTAAGTTTGTAACGGAATGTTTGTCTGTTTGTAACAAATGATTGTTCTCATACCTGAACAACCGTGTTTTAGAATTTGTTTTGTTAATTTTTATAATACCTTGACCTCGCAGGTACTCAGGAAAAGTGCATAATTGATGAAATTTCGTTTAAATTGAGTTAGAAATGTTTTACATGGATAAAGCTGGTTGTGACGCCTTGAGAACATGTTGCGATGTTGTTGTACTGTGGTGCTGTGTTGTTGATGTGTTGTTGTGTTGTTGTTGTGCTGTTGCTGTGTTGTTATTGTGCTGTTGCTTGTTGTTGTATTGTTGTGTAATTAATGTGTTGGTTTGTTGTGATGTTGTGTTAGTGTTGTTGTAGTGCTGTTGGGTTATAATGTTGTGTCGTTGTTATGTGTAGTCGTTGCGGTGTTGTTCTTCCCATACTTTTCACTCCTTACCGTTATAGTCATGTTATAATAATAATAATTATTATTTTATTTGACAAATAT